GAAAATTCTGTTACCTTATGCTTCATGTCAAAGAATGCATAGATGATAGTGTTATTTCTCGTGTATAATCGTTGCAAAGTAGTCATAACTCGTGCAGTTTCTAGCACGGCCGCGACACCTGAGCCGTTATCATCAACTCCTGAAAGGGCTAATCTAAAAAATTATGGTAGTGATTACTAGGAGGTGCTAACCCGGGTTATTCTTCTCCGTATCATAGTTTGCACATACTACTATCACTTTGTCATTCGGTGTATCGTAGTAGGGACCACGTTGAATAGCATGAAGATTGATACCAAGGTCTTCCTATAAAAATATCGGAGAATTTCCTCAAAGATATTTGCACGCCATGTTTGAAGAGAAGAAGTGCAGGAAAGCGGCCAAAGGGAACTATTGAGCTTCAAGGCCTCACTCCCGCTTTATAAGATTATTTGACTGACTTGTTTCAAAAAGTTCAAGAATTTATTTAATTCTGACTTTACCCCTCTTAGGGAGAAGAGTTGCAAAGGAGGGAGGGCGGAAAAGTGTCGTTTGTCTGGCTCTTTACTTACCTCTTCTTCCGTGATAAATGCATGAGAAGTGGTTTGCAACCCAACACCGTCAAGCGCTTGTCGTATTCCCATTCGAGCCAAAGATTTTTCGGACGAGTTATACCTTAAAGTCAAGTTGTGAAGGTAATAGGAAATTTGAGCTGTTCAATGGAAAGTCAGTTTTGGTTGGGAACCTCATCATTTCTCTTGGATTTTCTTGAAGTCTATCCCATCCTTGCCTACATTTCTTAAAGTCGATCTCTTAGAGTTGCACAATTTAAAAAAAAAACTTTGAACTCTGAATTTCTTATTTTCCCTATTAACTAATCACTTTGAATCAACAGTCAATTATCCAGTGCCTTGTACCCTAATCCAAGTGAATCACCTGGGTAAAGATAAGAACTTTGATAGATCATGTTCGAGTCGATCAATGTCTGCTATTTGGCCACAAACTTCAGCTAAGAACATGATTAATAACAGGAATAGCATGTGAAGCACCAAAGTTCTGGAAAACAACAAAACTCAATTTTTAATTGAAAGTCACATGCAGTGAATAGTGGGTGCATAGATCAAACGAATACGACATTGAACAAGGATAAAATGCACACTCGTTGGTTTTGGAGCAAAATCAAACATGGCGACAAGACCACTGACACATCAAAGAAACTAGGTGTTTAACGGTCACAGAGAGTCCGCGCCCCGCCGACAATCCGATCATGTTTACGCAAGATGTTTGGATTTAATTGCGATTTGCAACCGAAAAAAAACGTGTTTGGGATCCTTCGAGTACTAAAAATAAACTTAAAATTCTCGCAAATGTTGATGAGTTTGTAGTGTTGTTCAAATTTGGTGACTATTATCGCTTTTTTCATTATCCCTGGTGTGTTCTTTGTGGTAGCTCTCATTTTTAGTTTTTAGCCAGAACGTGCGGGTATGTCAACCTCGCTTACTACAAACTTAGATATAGGTATGTTGGGATTGTCCCAGAAGCAATGTACATGGTAATCCATCAACTACAGCAGTTATATCTCGGTACTCCTCCATACTTCTAACATTAATTGGTATGCTAACAGGCATTAGCAAATGTGCTCGGCGGCGAACTCGAACAAAACGGGTAGGAAACGAC